CTGTGCTTTAGAGAAATCCTGCTGATCACTTTTGATCTTTCCCTTTGTCAGTTTTAGGTACATCAGAAAAATAAAAATAATTTGATACCCATCATGCTATTCTCAGCATATGTAATGAGAACAGGAACAAAAGAGAGAAAATGGGTTTAAAATAATGGAAGAAAACAAGAATCAAAACAATGTGCATTTCCTCTGGCTTTTGCTACAGTCTACCTACTTGGGAAAAAATTTAAGGTTTAAGCATATTTGTGTATGTAGATCCAGACTTAAGCATGAGAGCTTCAAGTCCTACACAGACTTACAGTCTCCCTCAAACTCCCCCGTGGTCAAAAGGAGATAATACCTCCTGACTTCCCCCTCCAAAAGCAGCTCCAAATTTGTGGCAACCTTCCACTTGATTTTCCCCTCTGGCAGAAGAACAAAAGGAATAGGCCTATCCCCACTGTGGCAATGAGCCTGGAACACCTGATCTTTGTGCTCTGGCAGTGGGAATGGAGAGGCAAGTGTCTCACAGCTTGCTTTCTAGCAGCTTTGTGGCTCTGCAAATTGTAAACTAGCCCTGGGTGAAATGTTTAGACAGTGAGGTTGGAGGAACACCAATGATGCCTTGCTCAAAGCTGGAGCTAAACCCATTTAGAAGCTTACATGTACAGAAATGCTGATGAATCGTGTGTCAATATGATGCCGCATAAAGGAATTTTTTGTTTTCAATTTGCTTTTTCAAAACCCTAGGAAATGACACTATCTGTTAAAAGAACAATGAAGTTGCAAAGTCAAGCACTCAAAAGTTAGGAAAGGACAAAATCAAGGTTAATTTGGCTCCCTATGTGTAGGGCCCTACCAAATTTGCGGCCATGAAAAATGCGTCATGGACCATGAAATCTGGTCTGCCCCTGTGAAATCTGGTCTTTTGTGTGCTTTTACCGTAGACTATACAGATTTCACAGGGGATACCAGCATTTCTCAAATTAGGGGTCCTGACCAAAAAGGAAATATCGGGGGGATCACAGTATTGCCACCCTTACTTCTGTGTTGCTGCCTTCAGTGCTGGGCGGCCGGAGAGGCAGCTGCTGAATAAGGGTCCAACTCTGCAGGCAGCAGTGCAGAAGTAAAGGTGGCAATACCAACTCAGATCAGTAAGGGATTGTGTCACTGCCTGTTCTATAGCCCTGGGCTTATCTGTACCGTGCAGCCCTGGCTGAAAGCCCTGGCACCAGCAGCACAATAGCCTCACCCTGGCTTCCACCAGCCTTGGTTATTCCTTGCAAGGTGACGCCAACACCTACCCCAAACCACCTTCCCTGTAGTGTCAGCTCTCTCCTGGAACACTCACAGAAGTTAAAATCACTACTTCTTTAAAGAGTCAGAAAACAGCAACCCATTAATTTAACTGGTGTTTGACACTCTTATTTCAATCACAGCACTGTCTTGGCTTATATTAAAAGTAAAAACAAGTTTCTTTAATCAAAAAGTCATAGGTTTAAGTGATACTAAGTATAAGGAATAAAGATAGAAAGAGTTACAACCAAACAAAAGTAACTATATGCTTCTAAGACTAAGACCTGATTTAACCAACTAGACTCTCTTGTTCAAAGTGTTTCTGATCAAGTCTCTTTTCCAGCAGGGTTGACCAGACTCTCAAGCCAGAGCCTCCACAGAGCTCCAATTGATCAGTTCCTTTGTCCCTTCAAGTTAAGGATACCAAAATGGTTTTTTCTCTCTCCTTATATCTTCATAAAGTTCATTGACCCCGCTGCATCTTTCCCCACTTGCTCTCCTGATGGCTTTGTTTACCACGCATGTAAGTGTACCTTCATCATCTCTGCCTGATGACCAGGCTGGTCAGACATGCAAATGTAAGGGGATTGTTGCCCCCTTACTAACATTCAGTTGGAGTATTTTAGTTGGCTAGTTCCCAGTACTAAAAGGGAAAGGGTCTATAGGAAATCAGGACCCTGAGACTGATAGTCCCCAGGAACAATGGGGAGAGGCCAATGCTCCAGGTCAGCCTGAATGACAGGGTGGGCAGGCTAATCAGGGAGTCAGGAGGCCAGGGAGGTCCCGTCGTCCGTGTGAGCTGAAATTGCCTGGGTCAGACAGAGTGGGGTCGAGCTAAAGAGCTGGGGAGCAGAGCTGTGCCAGATCCAGAGAGAGCAGAGCTGAAGCCCAGCCAGAGGCACAGCCCAGAGAGAGCAGACTTGCCCTGGGAGGAGAGCTGCAGCACCCAGAGCCAGAAGGACCAGAAAAGCAGCCCACGAAGCAGGTCAGTGCTAGGAACAGAGTCACAAAAGCAGCCTGCAGAGCAGACCTGTCCTGGGAGCAAAGCTGTAGCAACCAGAGGCAGAGGGGCCAAAGAAGCAGCCCAGGGAGCTGGAGGCAGAGCAGCAGCAGCAGTGCTGAGACAGAGTGGTGGAGCTGGGGCTGGAGCAGTCCGGAGCTGGGTGCGGTGAGCAGCTGGGGAGAGCAAGGGGGCTCTGGACAGCGGGCCCAGCACAGGGAGACACCTCAGGCAAGAGGCTCTGCAGGCCAGGCTTGGATCGTATCCCCGACAGGACGGGGGCGACACTGGGAAGGAGGGTCCTACCACTTGGAGCCTGAGAGCGTGTGGCCACCACCAGCGCAAGTGTCCAACCCACAGCATCCCTACAGCACAGCCAGGGCCTGAGAAGAAGGCCTGGGACTTACAAGGAACAGACTGTGAACTGCCCTGACATTCCAGAGACACTGTTTGTGATGTTCCCTGCCACAGGGCGGGTTGATGTGTTTCCTTTAACCTTTCCCATTTTTCCTTATTCTTTTTAAAATTAATTGTTGATTAAATAACTTGCATTTGCTTTAACTTATATATAATGGTCAGTGGGTCAGAGAACTGCCCATTGCAGAGAGAGTACCCCGCAGTGGGGACACCCTAGCCCCTGCCCTAGGTGACCACAGCAGGGTTGGGGGTCGAGCCCCCCAGGAATCCTGGGCCCAGCCTTGTTGGGGTTACGAGGACTGTGCCAGACAGGAGAGTGGAAGGGGAGTCCTCAAGGGCAGGGAGGCCACTGGGTAAAGGAAGTGGGAGCAAGGACTCAGATCCTTTCGCTAGCCCACTTCACCGGGGTAATGCAGAAGCCAGGAAAGTTCCCCACAATAGCGGGACTATTCCCCCGCTTACACAAATACAGATTCCTTTGTCTATGGCTGACTGGGTTTATGCATTGCTTGCCAAACACATTTTAAGGACATAATTCTAGCACATATTTATAACATTGTACATACACCACACAATGATTTTCAGGACAAGTGTTACCAGTTTGTATATGATATCTTACATGACAACTTTTAGATACAGATTATGGCAACAGAGTGTTAGATATACTAAGTATGTGAGGCCTGACAAGAGTTGCTGACCCAGTAGTGAACATCAATGGGCCTCAGTGTCACCCTAAGCCCTGGCCTACACTGCAGAGTTAGGTTAATGCAAGACAGCTTATGTCAACCTAACTATGTAAGTATCTACACTAAAATTTCGTTCCTGCTGACGTGACTCATCCACTCCACCAACTTAATAACTACACCTCCATGAGAGGTGTAGAGTCACTGTCAATGTAGTTAGGTCAACGCAGCGTCAGTGTAGACACTGTTGCTTACATTGACTGTTGCTGGCTTTCAGAAGCTGTCCCACAATGCCTTACACTGACAGTTCAATCAGAGTAAGCGTCCCTGGTGAGGACACACACCATCAACATAAGGTGCAAAGTTTAGACATGCACAAGTGATTTAATTACTCTGGCAGCTATACACTAACATAAATTAGGTCAACTTAATTTTGTAGTGGACATGGCCTAAATTCTCTGAAAAATCAAATCATATGTGCTTCAGATTTGGTGCCAAAAATTAGTGGACACTTTTGCTCTTAATCTCTTGCCACTGACAGGAGTAAGGGGGCCAAGACTGGTGACAGCTGGGGCCTGGAATGGAGCTAGGCAGCTGGGTGCGAGCCCTGGCCGGGAGCCAGGACCTTGGCTGGGGGTGGAGTGGGGCTGGATGACATTCCCTCCCCACCCCCCATGGGGGCTGACCTGGGGCCCTGCCATGCCCCCGAACATTCCTCCGCACCCCCCTGGGGGGGGGACACGACCCACATTTTGGGACAGTGGTGGGCAATCTGTGGCCCGTCAGGGTAATCCGCTGGTGGGCCGCCAGACAGTTTGTTTACATTTGCACGGCTGCCTGCAGCCCCCAGTGGCCGCAGTTCGCCATTCCAGGCCAATGGGAGCTGCGAGAAGCAGCACCCTGAAGTCCGTGCTGCATACTGCAGCTCCCATTGGCCGGGAACGGCAAACTGCGGCCACTGGGAGCTGTGGGTGGCCCTGCCTGTGGATGAGGGATAGCTCAGTGGTTTGAGCATTGGCCTGCTAAACCCAGGATTGTGAGTTCAATCCTTGAGGGGGCCATTTAGGGAGCTGGGGCAAAAATTGGGGATCGGTCCTGCTTTGAGCAGGGGGTTGGACTAGATGACCTCCTGAGGTCCCTTCCAACCCTGATAGTCTGTGATTCTAAAGACTGTCTCATGGCCCGCCAGTGGATTACCCTAATGGGCCGCGTGCAGCCCATGGCAGGTTGCCCACCACTGGTTTGGAACCACTGATCTAGATATAAATCTTATCTATAAATTATGTGTTATAACACCATTTTCTTACTTAAACTGCAGAAACGGGACCAATGCAGCAACTTTAGCTGGACACAGAAACGTTTAACATTAGTATTGTGACAATAATGCAAATCTTTAGACCCACGTAAAAAAAACCCCATCAGATTACATTATTTTTCTGGCAATTGGCAAATCCATTAAAAAAAAAAAAAAAAAGGCCAGCCAGGCTGGTCCAATACCAGCCAGACGGTCCCCCTCGGCATGGGTAAACTAACTCCGGGGGTACTGGAATATTGTAATGCTACTGCCCAAGCGTTTCAGTGCAGCTGCTGGATTTCCTCTTCCAAGGCAACCCGTGTCTTACCTAGGAGGCTAAGCCTTAGTACTTGTTCCTATGACCGATGCAGCCTGTTTCTGCCCAGTCCCACAGAGCGTGTGGCTCGCGAGCTCCCGGCCGGGCGGGGGTGGAAGCCGCGGCCCCTTTGCTGGCCGGGCGCTTTGGCAGCGGGCGCCCTGCGGATCACGCGCCCCGCTCGGGGGCTGCAGCCAGCCCGGCTGCGCGGCGGGAGGGCCCGATTGGCTGGCTTAGAGCCGGGCCGGCGCGCCGCGGAGCAGCCGCGGGGCAGGATGGTGGAAGCGTGGTACATGGACGAGTCCGGAGAGGACCAGAGGGCCCCGCACCGGCAGGAGCCGCACCGGCCCGTCAGCCTGGAGCAGCTGCGCCGGCTCGGAGTCTTCCACTGGAAAGTAGGCGGCGAGACTGGCTGCAGCGCGGGAGGGGGAGCGGGCGGCGCCTGTAGCCCGGCCACTCAGCCGGGGCCCCCGGGAGCCCCTGGGCCGCAGCCTCCCGCCCGCCCGGCTCCCGCCGGGACTCGCTGCAGCTGCTTGCGCAGTGTGGGCCCCTGGGCCCGGACATCTCTGGCCTTTGCCTCCGCCCACAGACTTGTTTGCAGCGTGTGAGCGCCAGCGTGGCTCGTCGCACGCTGCAGCCCGGCGCTGGCCACGGCCCGATCCCCGTTCCCAAACCCCGCTGCGGCGGCCGGGGGGGGGGTTGAGGATCTCCGCTGGCCTTTGATCGGGGAAGGGGGGTACTGCTTTACTGTTACCAGCCCAGGGTGGGTCCTCTCCTCTGCTCGACTCACTTACCATTTGTCTTTTAAATGAACTCTCCGCACTTCAGCCCCTGCCTTTGCTGAGAGTCTGTGCCGCAGCACTAGCAACCGCAGCAGTTTGACTGATGCTCCTGCTTATTCCTGAAATACCCTTCACTTCCTTAACGCGTAGTGGCACATCCACATGGCCTGGCTTTGCCTGTTAATATTGGAGATAATGGAGACCCATCTTCACGGTCCAGTGGGTCAGAGCCTGTGCCAAAGGGAATCCAAATGTATCAGGTAGCCTAAAAGGCTTGTCTGGGCCCAGACATGGCTCTTGATAGAGGTGCTAATAAGGAATTGAATCTCAGTGCAGGGAGGGCCAAAGGAGTGTCAGTGTCCTGCCCTTGTAATTTAAAAATCATGATTTGTTTTTTTTAAATAGAAGTGAAAACCTAAGTTCCCTGCTGGAATTGGAAGCATGCGTGCCTGCTTAAATGTAAAGGTGGTATCATATGCTTTCCATCCTCGTGTGAGGTTTAATGTACACAAGACAAAAACTGCATAAATGGCTTAGCCTCTTAAGTTCCCACTTTTCAAAACTGATTTAGCTTAAGTCTGAGGCCTTGTCTAAACTCAAGAATTGTACTGCTTTACCTAACTCAGTACATTTGGGCAGCTAACCATGATCTCTCCTTCCCACAGGCTAATTCAAGGGGTTCCTAAAGTGAAGTACATGTACATTGGTGGTGGTCTATAATGCAGGGGTCGGCAAACTATAGCATGCGTGCCAAAGACAGCATGCGAGCCGATTTTTAATGGCACGCTGCTGCCTGACGGGTCCCAGCCGCTGGCCCTGCTCAGCCCGCTGCAGAACCCAGGCCAGCAGCGGGCTGAGAAGGCCTGCGGCTGGGACTCCGGCAGGCAGCAGCGTACCATTAAAAATCCTGCCCGCCCCGGCCCGCTCTTCTCCACTCCCCCCCTTCCTCCGGCAGGGGCAGGGTGAAGAAGCTTGGTCCTGCTGGCTGCTGCTGCAGGGCAGGCAAGGTCTCCCCTCCCCTGCCTCTGCCCCTCCTCCTCTCCCTCCCTGCCACTGATCAGCTGATGGGGAGAAGGGGAGCCGCAGCATCCTCACTGCCCCAGGGAGGAGGCGGAGAAGAGGTGGGGATGAGGCCTTGGGGAAGTGGGGTGGAATCAGGGCATATCCCCTCCAGCCCCCTGCTGTGAGCCACTCTGGGCAGGGGACTGGGAGCACCCCCAGGACCCTAGCCCGCACCCCCAGGACCCTAGCCCACACCCCCAGCCCCCGCCCTGACCCCTGCACCCCCTCACACACACCCCAGCCCTTACCCTTGCACCCCCTTCACACACTTCTAGCCCTCTGCCCTGACTCCTGTACCCTCACCCCCCCCAGCCCTCTGTCCTGACCCCTGCACCCCCTCACACACACCCAGCCCTCTACCCTGACCTCTGCACCCTCCAACGACCCCAGCCCTGACTCCAGCACCCGCCACACATACCCAGCCCCCCCACATCCCATGCCCTGCCTCTTGCACCCCCACATTCCCACCCCCACCCTGAGCATCAAACAGGAGCTCCTGCACCCCCCCCCCCCACATTCCCACCTGCACCCCTCGCACCAAATGGGAGCTGCCCTGGTAAGCACTCCACACCCAAACCTCCTGCCCCAACCCTGAGCCTCCTCCCCCATTCTAGCTCCTGGCCAGACCCTGCACCCCAACCCCCAGCCTGCTCCTTCACCCCCAGCCCTGTGCTCAGTGCGCTCCTACCCTCAGTTCAGTGCAGACAGAGAGGAAGAGAATGGGCTAGAACCAGGGAGAAGATAGGTACCCACTCTATGTGAGCAGGGCTGGGATCCCAGACCGGCAGTGGGCTGAGCGGGGTCAGCAGCCGGGACCGTGGCTGGCAGGAGCCGGTGGACGGAACCCCAGACCGGCAGCGGGCTGAGCCACTCAGCCCACTGCCGGTCTGGGGTCCTGGCCGCTGGCCCCGCTCAGCCTGCTGCCGGCCTAGGTGAACAGAACCCCAGGCTGGCAGGGGCTGAGTGGGCCGGCGGTGTAAGATTAGCATTTTAATTTAATTTTAAATGAAGCTTCTTAAACATTTTGAAAACCTTGTTTACTTTACATACTTTACTTTACTTTAGTTTAGTTTAAGACTTATAGAGAGAGACCTTCTAAAAAACGTTAAAATGTATTACTGGCATGCGAAACCCTAAATTAAAGTGAATAAATGAAGACTCGGCACACCACTTCTGAAAGGTTGCTGACCCCTGCTATAATGGGTGGGTCAGACAGAAGAACTGCATAATTGAGCAATTCTGGCACCTAGGCTACAAGCCAGACAGTCTTGTACTGTAAAATGTATCCCTTATGGATACACAAGATAGAATTCAATAATTCCTGTCTCCCAGTCACATGCTGGGTTCACTAGAGCAAGTAGCCTTTATAAGAGACTCTTATAAGCCTGATATGAGAAACTCTTTTAGGGCTGTGATATGTACCTCTGGTGAGATTTATAAAGGTTTTTGTAGCATGGTATTTATTGCATAAAGTGTAGGCTTATCAGTAACAAGTCACTGAGCATATTGTTAATTCCTACCAAAAAAAAATTAGAGCTGAAAATGTGGAGCCTCACACAGCCTCTTTCATTTGGCTTATTAAAATGTTTCCCACATCTGGGAAGGTAGAACAATAATAGATACTGAGCAAAGAAAGTCTGTAACCAGAGCAGTTTAATGAAGTTTTAAAATAATCGATGAAGACACCCGCCCTCCCTCCCCACATTGTTGTTGCCGCCAACTTTCAACCGAATGTTATTTATTTATTTATTTTGCTGTCATGCTGCTGCTTCCCCTACCAAGGCTAATTTGTTTTGGAAGCATGCCTTGCCAGGGTTGGCAGGCTGCCTGGTGGGAAAATGGTAGTGAAGTAACTACGAACAACGAGAATGTTCCTCCTGGTAACTCCAAACTTCAGCAACTGTGCAGGGACAATGGCAATCCTGCTGATTAGTCATGAGGGACTCCCAGTTGTTTTCTTTGTGAGGAACAGACACGATTCACTCCAACACTGGGATTCTGGCTCTGGAACAAGAAGAAGAAGCAGACTCTGTGGGAGCAGCGTCTGAAGGCAGATTGAGCTCGCTTCCCCAGTATGTCCCGCTGAGACACCCACACTGACTCTGAAAAGCTAGCTTTTCTATAATCCCTTTTTTCCCTTTAGACTACACAATAACAAATAAATAACCTTGCTGGACTTGTTAGTAACTAGTATGTAACTTGAAATGTTATTTATACATTAACTGGCTGCACTTCTTGGTTTTGGAAGCGGTCGTTTGGGTATCCTGGCTATCTCTCATGGATGTTTGTTTGTTTTTAATTCCTCCTCCAAAAAATCACACAGTTGGATGCTGACAACTATGAGACTGACCCAGACCTAGCAAGGATTCGGAAAGAGAAAAACTATTCTTGGATGGATATAATAACGATACATAAAGATAAGCTGCCAAATTATCAAGACAAGGTAAAGCAGCCCTGGTTTGGATCTGGGAAGGGAGTAAGTTCTGAAGTCTGCAACTAGAATGTGCACCAGCTTTTGAAGTGCACGCTCAGAACCTGCTCTTTGAACAATGGATTTTCCCCCATTTTTAAAAATCACATTGTTTAGTTTTTAGCTTTTCAAATGACTGCTTGGATTCCATTTTTAAAACGAGAGAGGGTTTTGTGTTTTCTGTAATTGCTTTCCCTTTAGTAGCTTACATATGATGCCTTTTAGAATGGTTCCCATTAATAAGAGTGGCTCTCACTTGTCATGTTGAAACTGCACATATGCAAATGAAGCCCTGCAAACATTATTAGATTGTCATCCAAACTAAGTCAGACCATTGCCAGCTTGGGGCTTTGGCACAATCTTTCCCCAGTGAACTTCAGAGCAGCAAGCCCTGTGCTTGGTCACTGCTGCCCTAGGACATGGTGGTAATTTTAATCAACAATAACAAATCCCTCAGTACTGTCATAAATAATTTCACAGTGTTCTCAGAAAAAGGAGGCCACTCTTGGCCTGGTTGTCAAGGTGATTGATTTTAGTGCTAAGAATATTTTAACATACTCACCATTGGAGGGAATTGGAACTTCTGTCAAATTCATTTTGATGGGAATTTGTGACCTCCCATACATATGATTTGAAATAACTTGTGAGCATGCCCACTTGACAGTTTTCAAAGTTGAAACACGCCTACAGCTACATGCACTTTGGGGATTGTCAGCCTGCAAAATGTATTAGTTGGTAATTAGTTCTTTTGTCTCCAGTACATTTTTGTAAAGTCTGAAATGTGCTAAACACTTGAGGGTTATGAGGGATTTGTGCAGTTCCCCAGCTGAGAAATGTT